CGCCTCCGCCGCCTCCGCTGCCGCCGCCTCTTGAGCCTCCGCCGCCGCCACAGCCGTCCACTGCTGCATATACAGCCGCCGCCTCCGCCGCCGCGTCCGCCGCCGCCGCTACCTCCGCTGCCGCCCTCTCCCTCGCTTCTTCCCTCTCCCTTGCCGCCTCCTCCCTTGCCCTCGCCTCTGCCTCCTCCCTTGCCCGCGACGCCGCCTCCGCCGCCTCCGCCGCCCGCGCCGCCGCATCAGCCTCCTCCGATGCCCGCGCCGCTCGCGCCGCCGCAGCTGCCTCAGCCGCCCGCGCCTCGTCCGCCGCCCGCGCCTCGTCCTCCTGCTGAGCTGCCCGCTCAGCCGCCGCCGGCGGCGCGGGGAGGAGAGGGGAGGGGTTATCGTATCCATATTGCTCGCCTTCATCGTTACTTATCGGTCAGCGTTTTTGCGTGGGAAAGGTTGCTGGGCTCATTCATGATGTGCGCGTATGCGCAGTGCGCAGTATGCGCGGCGGGTCGTGTCCCCGCCGCTACCACGTGATTGAGTGGTGATAATACACAACGTATCAGCCAAAGAGCGTGCTAAGGTACAAGGATGTCTGCCGTCTCGCGTCGCGGACGTCCCCAATCGAGACACGCTCCCACACAGACAGACCAGACCAAACACAAGGGCGGTCGGCCTTGCCAAGGCCTCCGCAGTGTGAAGGGAAGAGTGGGAGCGACACATGGAGTGTACAAGGGGCGCGCTAGCACTAGCAAAGCGAGGAGAGTCGCTCACAATAGCAGACCGGCGCGGGCAGCGACGAGAACGCAGGATACATCATTTTTGTGTGGCCACTAGTCCACCTGCTTGATCAGGAAGGTCTGGCTCGTGCCAAACCATCTGGCTCGTGCATGACAGGGCCTACTGTGGGTTGTAGACGCACGGCTTGTGGCCGCCATAGACACCCTCGGTTGCGCCCGGGCGTTCGTTCCAGTAGACTTTCAGGAATGATCCCTTGGGATTGCCCCCATCAGCGTATTTGGTGTCATACCATTCAAAGCAGCCTACATTCGCTGGTGCTGGGCGTCATTTGCATGGGCAGAGCGCGCGCGTGTGAGGGGTGAAGGGCGTAACCGTGAATCCAGTTGCCGTCTTCGGTCAGTTTGCCCTCAAATGTGTGCCCTGCGGCGGAGTTGCGGGCGGGTCGTGAGCTGCGAATGGACAACGCAGTGATGTGCTCAGGTACCCTAAGGAAGGCACCATACTGAATGGCAAGGCGCTGGCACTCGTTTGCGTCCTTGACATCGCGGTATTCAGCCGGGCACGTGACGCCAGGTACATAGGTCATGAGGATGAGAAGCTCATCCGTCCCCGAGCCCGACCAGGCTTTCGAGATGCACCTACGACAACCGCCGGGAGTCAGGGGATGTCTCGGAAAGTGCGGGTCACGGGGTCGTAGAGACGCACGGCTTGTGGCCGCCATAGTTGCCCGATGTTGCGCCTGGACGGTTGTTGTAGTAGACGTTGCGGCTTGTCCCTTTCGGGTTTCCCACGCTGGGGTACCAGTTGAAGCAGCCGTCAATCCAGTTCGTGTCGCCGTCCAGTTCAGAGATCCACACGCCGCCTGTGGCAAGGGAGTGGGCGGGCGGGTGCTGAGCATCGGTCGATAATCATCTGTGTGCTAACATCGAAAGGCACCATTTTGCTCGGCGAGGAGCTTGCACTCGTTTGCGTCCTGGACATCGCGATATCCATTCGGGCAAGAGACACCAGGAGTGTAGGAGATGCGAGGATAGCAGTACGAGATCCTCCTCCGTGCAGTGGAGAAACGGTCAACGGCCGCCCATCAATTAGAGAGACTACAAGTGCTTATTGCAGCCATAGGCACCCGTCATTATGCCCGACCGATAGTTGTAGTACATCCCTATGTCACGTCCCAGGAGGGCATGGCCTTAGAGGTATCGGCTCCTGCAAAGCAGCCGGAGGCTCACATAGCATAGAGG